ATGTTTGCAAGTTTGTACATATTTAACAGTACAAAATAAAATAAAACCTATATATTGAGTAACTAAGTTTTCAGACTAGAAAAGTAATTTAATTACTTTACTCAATGCAGATTATAATCAAAATAAATTTCAACATGCACAAATTGTAACTTTAAATTCTTTCAATTTAGAGTCAAACAGTAGATCTTAATTTTGTTTTTAAATAACACTTACATGTTATTTATTAGCCTCACTGTCAGGATCAAGAGCCTCGCCTCAGATGATTTGAGTGGTCATGAAGCAATGGACATGGATGCTCAACAACATTATTAAAGTGGATTGTGGGATTTAAACAGTGCTCAGATAGTACTGAGAGACGAGATTGGGGTTAAAGTCAACGTTTTACCAAGTCATCCTGACAACATCAAATGCCTTAAAAGATTACTGCACTTCCAGAATGAACATTTCCCTCATGATCTCCTCAGCCCACAATAATAATACCAAGTCTAAAAGGTCTCATTGATTTTATCTGTTAAGATAAAATAAGAAAAAATTTTCCTCACTTCCTGGTCACATGGAAGTCCTTTAGGACGGGACAGTCCTTTAGGGCAGGGCTATCAGCCCTTTAGGGTGGGACTATCATTCCTTTAGGGCGGGACTATCATTCCTTTAGGGCACTACTATCAGTCCTTTAGGACGGGACTATAAGTCCTTCAGGGTGGAACTATCTTTAATTTAAGGCGGGACTATCAGTCATTTAGGATGGGGCTATCAGTCTTTTAGGGCGGGACTATCATGCCTTTAGAGTGGGGTTATCAGTCCTTTAGGGTGGGGCTATCAGTATTTTAGGGTGGGACTATCATTCCTTTAGGGCGGGACTATCATTCCTTTAGGGCAGGTCTATCAGTCCTTTAGGGCGGGACTATCATTCCTTTAGGGCAGGTCTATCAGTCCTTTAGGGCGGGACTATAATTTCTTTAGGGCAGGTCTATCAGTCCTTTAGGGCGGGACTATCATTCCTTTAGGGTGGGTCTATCAGTCCTTTAGGGCGGGACTATCATTCCTTTAGGGCAGGTCTATCAGTCATTTAGGGTGGGACTATCAGTCCTTTTGGGCAGGACTATCATGTCTTTAGGGCGGGACTATGAGTCCTTTAGGGTGGGGCTATCAGTCATTTAGGTTGGGGCTATCTTTCAAGATTATCAGTCCTTTAGGGCAGGTCTATCAGTCTTTTAGGGTAAGGATCAGTCCTTTAGGCCGCTGCCGTCAGTGTGTGTATTGTTTCTGCTCTGAATTTGTCCATTTGTTAATTTTCCATCATTTTGTTTGCAACGCCCATCTTTCAACAATCCATTCCCAAAGTATGAAATCATGCATCACCCTACTTTTTTTACCTCATTCCAAGATTGTTCCATGTGGATGTACGTTTTTACGTTAACTTTTATTTCATGGTGAGTTTAAACCACAAAAGCTTGTCAGAAAAACCAGTGTAAAATAATTTAAATATATACATTTAAAGAAACAGAGAGAAAAAAAATACCAATTATTTGACTAGGCAAGACCCTTGATTCTTTGACTGGTGTTGTTTAGGGCTCCTTAAAGCTGAATTTAATCTGCAAAATGTTGAAGCTCAAAAACCAGAGTCACAGATGTCCAAGATATGTTTTCCTAAAAATACTTCATATATTAAAACTGAATGACAAGGGGGTGATCAGATTATCAGGACATTTTTATTCTAAAAGTGACCTAATCCTTTACTGCATTCACTTACTGTCATGCTATTGTCGGATTAACAAATCAAAGTTAACAAGCGGTTTTAGGAGTATATCTTGCGTGTGTGTAAAAACAACTGAAACTATTGCTGCTCGTATTCAGGTCCTGTCTGAAATGGTGCATTTGACGCATACTTGCATAAGCACTAGGGTGTGTGTGTGTGTGTGTTTAGTGACCCAGTTTACCATCTCAGGTTGTACACCAGTGTCTTACTCTGTGCAGAGCACATATTATCTACATGTAGCAAGTATGTAGTACTCATTTATAAAACACAACAGATGAATAATTGATCAGTTAGCCGAGACAAACAACATCAGCAGGAACACTTCAAATCAGATTTTCTTTAAATTTTATTTCTAAATGCAAATGATTAAAAAAACAGACTGTATGCTTTAAATAAATCAGTATCGCTAAATGATTTAGATCCCTAATGTACAGCCCAGAATCCTTTGAGACATCAGCTATAAAAAAGAAAGAAGAAGAAGAAGAAAAGCCTGAAGCGGGAGGTTAAACACAATACAGCCCGCTTCAGAGATCAGTGTGTGCTTTAGCAGAGCCGGGCAGATACTACACGCATTTACAATGAAAACACACACACACACACGCTCATTTGACAAACATTCATATTCTTACATATACAAACATACGCACCATCTGTCCAAGACACGAAAACAGTCGCTGCAGGAAGAGACGCTCAGAGAACCTTTCAGTTTGGGGTTTAAAAATGATAATATTAATAATTATAATAAAAAAGTGGCGGGCGAGGATGATAAACATCACATTTCCTATCTATAAAGTCCATTTAGAAATTCAATGATCAATTTATTTTTGCTTTACGTGACCAGAAAACTCTTTACCCCAAACGTTTTTGTGATGACGAAAGATGTCGTCATCTCGTTCCCGACGAAGTCTTTTGTTTTTTCCATTGGCCTCTGGCGTTTTTTCTGGCGTGTCGCTCTATATCGTGACTGTACTGGGACACAAATGCTTGGCTCGTCCCGTCCAAGTCTCCTGGGCTGTTGACTGACATCTTCAATCTCCTTATAACAGCAGGCAGCCGCTCTTTTTACCACGTTTTCTGGCTTGCAGCGCCGCCCTGGTGGCCATTTCAAAGACTTCTCTCACGCCATCTTTTGTTTTGGCCGAACACTCTAGATAACCGAAGGCATTGATTCGGTTGGCCATGTCTCGCCCTTCCTCTGGCTTCACCGGCTCCTGCATGGAGAAATATTACAAGGCTATTATTACAAGCATAACTAGTCGATATCAAACCAATGCACATCATACATTACATATATTAACCCTTGTGTGCTGTTGGGAAGGTTTTCATCCAGATTTTGTCTCAATTTGGCCTCAGTGTTCTCTGTGTTTCAGCAAATGGGATGATTTTCACAGGCAAATCTTATTTTAACACATTGTTTTGGAACTTTTTAAAAACTCAATACACTCTGGGCAAATTGACTACACTTTTGTTCTGTTCAGGGCTGTTTTTGCCCTATTGACTTCCATTATAATGATATTTTTTGACGGGTAAGTATATGTATAATCATGCATCCTTGATTGTTGCGGGTTCAAATGCGTAATTTTTACTGTTGATCATCAGCTCCAGTGCAAGTCAATATCAAATTAATGCACATTAAATGAACTCTGTTGTGCTGTTGGGTCATTTTCTTCCACGCTGAGCTGATTTGGAGTCTTAATTTGGTCACAACTTTCTCTGTTTCAGCAAATGTGATGATTCTTGGCGACAAATCTTATTATAACACATATTTTGGGAAAATTCTTGGATTTTTTATTTTTTTTTAATTGAACAATACACACAAATGTACGCCTTTCATTATGTTTGGGGCTGTTTTGACCCCATTGACTTATATAATTACATTGACTTATTGACCTTTATAATGCCTTTTTTTATTGTAAAGCCATGACAGCATATAACCATGCATTTTTAATTGTTGCTGGTTTTCCCTGTCGGGAAGAGGTCAGATGTGTAATGTATACTGTTGATCATCAGCTGCAGTGCAAAAATAAGCTTAGTTTCTGTCTTCTATATGCGTGTGTGTGAAATATTACAATTCTATTACCACAAGCATGGCCAAAAGACTAGTCAAAATCAAATTAATGCACATTATATTAACCCTTGTGTGCTGTTGGGCTGTTTTCATCCACTCTGAGCTGATTTTGAGTCTTAATTTACCCACAACTTTCTCTGTGTTTCAGAAAATTAAATTATATTTGACGACAATTCTTATTTTAACACCTATTTTGGGAAAATGCTTTAAATTTTTTCATAACCTCAACAACACACTGAAATGTACGCCTCTTTGGTTATGTTGGGGGCTGTTTATGCCCCATTCACTTCCATTATAAACACATTTATTGATTGTAATGCCATGACAGCATATAACCATGCATATAATCTTGATTGTTGCTAGTTTTCAAAGGTCAAACATGTAATTTCTACTGTTGATCATCAGCTTTAGTGCAAAAATAAGCATAGTTTCTACTTTCTATATGCGTGTGTGTAAAAAATTACAAGGGTCTTACCACAAGCATGGCCAAAACACTAGTCAATATCAAATTAATGCACATTATATTAATCCTCGTGTGCTGTTGGGGAGGTTTTAATCCACTCTGAGCTGATTTTGAGTCTTAATTTGGCCACAACTTTCTCTGTTTCAGCAAATTGGATGATTTTTTGGCAACAAATCTTATTTTGGTGCATATTTTAAGAAATTGCTTTGATTTTTTTTATAAACTCAACAATACACTCAAATGTTTGCCTCTTTGGTTATGTTTGGGGCTGTTTTGGCCACATTGACTTCAATTATTAGCACTTTTTTTTATTGTAAAGCCGTGACAGCATATAATCATGCATTCTTGATTGTAGCTGGTTTTTCCCTGTTGGGAAGAGGTGAAATGTGTCATTTGTACTGTTGATCATCAGCTGCAGAGTAAAAATTGCTTAGTTTCTGCCTTCTATATGTGTGTGTGTGTGTGTGTGTGTGTGTGTGTGTGTGTGTGTGTGTGTGTGTGAAATATTACAAGGCTATTACCACAAGCATGGCCAAAACACTAGTCAATATCAAGTCAGTGCACATTATAATAAAGTCATAGTAAGTAATTTCTGTCACTAGAGGGCGTTCATTAACAACAAACAAAAGTGTAGTTTGATGCAGGGTGTCTGCAGCTTTCAGATTTGAAGACATTTACAGACTTATACAGGGCTAAACACTAAGGATTATTTCTGAAATGTTTATTTGCCCCATGCAAAAAAATTCTAATTAGTTATTTCTTAACCACACGATGCAGGTAGTTATGGTTTATATTTTATGGAGTTTATTTTTTAATTTTGTGGCATAGAAAAGAAGCTTAAACACTGTCTAAGATTATCGTTCTGTCTGGTGTTTCTAACAGAAGACACAGATTATCAGGTTTGGAATGAAAAGGATGTAGTAAATGCAAAAATAAAAAGGAACTAAGCCGAAAAAAATGAATGAATGTAAAAATAAATTTAAAAAAAGAAGCAAAATCCCTGCCTGTTTCATTTTGGCAAGTTCCCTTCGTGTGTGCTCATCATTCCGGAGATCCTTTTTGTTACCCACGAGGATGATGGGAACATTGGGACAGAAATGCTTCACCTCTGGTGTCCATTTTTCTGGGATATTTTCTGTGAGACATTAAAAAAAAAGAAGGATGAGGATAATTTACATTAATCCCATTTCAGCTCATCAACCTGATTTTACAATTATATTAATGCATCATTTAGGCACTGAGTACAACACTTCACATTGCTTACTTGATTTATGTTTGATTACTTGATTTATGTTTTGTATGATTTTTTTCCTTTACTTGACAGGACAGTAGGTTGACAGGAAGTGAAGTGGGGGGGAGAGAGAGAGAGGGAGAGAAAGAGAGAGAGAGAGAGTTGCCAACCACACAGTTGGCAAATTATTTATCATTAAAACAATTAAAAGAAAAGCACATTCTTTCTAAATATCGCCTCTGTGATCATGACCTAAAAAATAGAAAAAAGCAGACATAAAAAATCCTGGACTCCTAAGGAAAAGAGAACATGTAAACAGTGTGACACAAACCAAATAGAGGATGAGACACACTTCCTTCTGTTTTGCCCCAAATACACCACGACTAGAGAAATATTTTTCCCCCAATTTGAAACATTGATCAGTTCATTTTTTAATTTAAATGACTCAGAAAAACTTTACCATACACTCGGAGAGGACGAATTGACATTTAGACTAGCTGCAAAATATGCATATACCCTACACACCATAAGAAATGGTTAATGTAAACTCATGTATCTTATTTAAATAATTTAAACTTTTTATTATTATTATATTTATCAAATGTATTTTTTTGTGTGTGTGTGTCATTATATCTTATCTGTATTACTATTAATTTTTCAATGGTTTTAATATGTTTCATATTTGAAGTGCTTTGGAGAGTGAGTGAGTGAGAGAGAGAGAGAGAGAGAGAGAGAGAGGGAGAGAGAGAGGGAGGGGGGCAGGATTGGGAAATGTTCACAAGCTGGAATTCGAACTTGGGATGTCAGAATCGCTTCCACACTATTGACCTTATTCTCCGCCGACGAGCGGGCGCTGCCATTTGAATCTTTTTGTCTCGCGACTTCCGGTCTTATTCACTTCCATTCATTAGTTGACGTTAAAAACTGCTCGTTACGCTGCTTGATGTTGCAATTTGATATTTTCTTATTATATTATTCTACTTGGTCTGTATAGTCATGCAAACATTTGTTTGTAGAGCAAGTAGTTTGACCATTTTCTGCAAGACAATCGCGAAAACAGGCGCACTTCCGCATTTTAGAATAAGGTCAATATCACGCCGACCACATTTGATGGTGCACTTTTCAGTTTCTAAATATTTAAATGAAACGTCTTAGACATTTCAAACATTTCAGAGTCACAAGCAAATACACCAAATATATACAGGGGTTGGACAATGAAACGGAAAGAAAGGCCTGGCTTTAGAGCACAATAATTCATTAGTATGGTGTAGTTCCTCCTCAATACAGCATCAGTTGGTCTTGGGAATGACAGACAGGAGTCCTGCACAGCACACAGAGGGATTTTGAGCCATTCGTCTGTCAGAATAGTGTTCAGATCACTACATGATGCTGTTGGTGGAAAAACCTTTCCTGACTCACTCCTCCAAAACACTCTAATGTGCTCAATAATGTTAGGATCTGGGTTCTGTGTAGGCCATGGGAGATGTTCAACTTCACTTTCGTCTTCATCAAACCACTCTGTCACCAGTCCTGCTGTGTGTATTGGTGCATTATCATCCTGACACACACCACCGCTGCCTTCCGGATACAATGTTTGACCCATTGGGTCATATGGTCCACCAGAATGGCTGGGTAGTGCTTGGCAGTGACCCAGCGCCCAGGTAGCACAAGTATTGGGCCTAGTAAATGCCATGACATTGTAGCCCAAACCATCACTGATCCACCGCAATGCATCAGCAGTCTGGGTGGGACGCTTTTTTGGGGCTTCTCCACACAGTAACTCTCCCGGATGTGGGAAAGACAGTGAAGATGGACTCATCAGAGAACAATTCATGTTTCACATCATACACAGCCCAAAATTTCACTGCTGGCACTATTAAATCTGCTGTTTGGCATTGGCACGAGTGAGCAAAGGTTTGGCTATAGCAGACGGCCATGTATATCGACCCTGTGGAGCTCCAGACCAGCCGTTCTGCTGGAAGCAGGAGAGCTGAGCAGCACATTTAATTTAGCTGTGTGTTGGGTAGCTGTGGTTTTAATGTTTTTTGGATACAATCCAGGATCAGACAGCTTCCTCCTGCGTCCACAGTTACTCCAGTTGGATGTGGTTCTTCTTCTTGGTGGTTTGCTGACATTACTCTGGATACCGCGGCTCTTGATCATCACAAAGACTTGCTGTCCTGGTCACAGATGCACCAGAGAGACACGAACCAACAAACTGCCCTTGTGTCCATTACAAATGTTTAAAGGGCCATGAAACCCCTTGTTTCAGCAGGGTGTTTTCACACCTCTACTTTGGAAAAAGCCAGAAAAGGGGGCGTGGCCAGCTCTTTTTAGGGGGGAGTGTCGGAGGAAGAAAAGAGGCACGGGGTGGGAGTGTCTATTTGGGCACGCGACTGTGTTTACATGGACATCTGTAGTCGAATTATTTGCCAAATGATTAAATGGTGGACTTTAACTGCAGTTTGGCTCTTTCATTCAGGGAATTCATTCATGCCCCTCGCGACAAACAAGATATTTAATTCGAGGAGCTGCTGTAAGCGTGTATTTTTCATGCAATGTTTGATACCGCACGGCGAATGAGAGAAAAAAACCTCAGCATTTCCCGGAAACTTAGATGCACACGGCAGGTAGTGTCAGAAAGCTGCGTGTGTTATTCCGGTCACTAAATGCGGTGAAAATCCTACACGAGGTTATAGCTTGGTTTTAGTGCTAACATGTTTACACTCGGTGCAATAGTTTGTTCTATACGAACAAACTGAATAAACAAAGAGCACTGGTCACTCACTCACCAAATCTGTAGAGACAGGACAATCACCAGCAACTAGAGCCGCGTCTTTATTAAGAGAATACTACAAGCGAATCCGGATCTCAGCGTTTGCAGATGAGAACAGCTCTCAGGTCAACAATAATCCTCCTTAGAGACGTAAGTTATTGTTGTCGAGCGTCGCGTACACTGTTAATCCTCACGTGACTCCAGCTGAGCTCTCACAGAGAGAAAATGAAAACAAAACTTCACTGCAGCAAACTATAAAAGCAACAGTTCACGCTTGTTTTGCCAACACAACGTGGCGTCTCTGTCGTCTGAACACGGTGACAGTAATGAATATTAATGAAGCTGCACAATAGAGCGCGCTGATTGGTTTGAACCAAGCTTTACTCATGCATTAATGCAACACACTGTAAGACGTAATAAGACACACTCTGGCACAGACGCTCAGTCTGCACGCTGCAATACACGCTATTATGTCATGACCGTGACGCAGCTTCAAAAATTCATTTCAAACAGGAAGTACGAATTTGCTTGAAATAACGCAAAAACAACCAATTTACACTTTTTAGTGAAATATAGGTGTCCTGATAGTGTTTTTAGCAGTGTGGGACACATATACCACTGTCAACAGCTCAACACATGTGTTCTGGTGTTTCGTGACCCTTTAAGCAAAACTGTGCCATTGCTCAGCTAGTTAAATCTTCGCACTCTGCTGTTACTGATGGTCAAGTTTAGCCTTGAGTCCTCCAACACTAAGCTGTTTCAGTTTCAGTGTCCAACCCCTTTATTTCACTTTTCTCACATCTGATTGGTCTAGCTTGTGTTGTGTTCTCTATTAAAATAGAAACAGAAGTGTTTAAAGATGTATATAAAGGTCAATCATAGAAAACCAAGTGATTACCAACCATGATAAGGTTTTCCCAACCCACCTCCTTGTGACCGAGTCTGCTCAAACTAAACCAGCTCTCCTTATGAACTCAAACAGATTGGATTTTTCAGCTCTAAACCTACACTGCAACTCATCACTTCTTCAGTTGTTCATGCAACAGGCTCCAGGCTGGTAAACGGAGGTGTTTATGTTGAAGTCTCACCCAAGCTATCAGGACTGTCGATGGAGAAGCACATGAGAATAACATCTGTGTCAGGATAGGAGAGGGGTCTTAACCGATCATAGTCCTCCTGTCCAGCAGTATCCCATAAGGCAAGCTCAACCTGAATGAAGAAAGACTGGTTATTTGATAAGCTCAACACTCCTTTCGTAACTCTTCACAACATATGTGGCACAAGCTGTCCGTGTTTGATGAACAAACGTGCAAATATAAAGCCAACTTTACCTCAAAAACACACATGGAAAAAAACAAATCAACATTTCATACCTGTTTTGAATCGACCTCGATATCTGCAACGTAGTTCTCGAAGACTGTCGGCACGTAGACTTCGGGAAACTGATCTTTACTGAAAACTATGAGCAAACAGGTCTTTCCACAGGCTCCATCACCGACTATGACAAGTTTCTTTCGAATTGCAGCCATCTGAAGAGGACAGAGACAAAAACACACACACATTGTGAGTAAACAAAAGAGAGATAATATGAGGATGAGGCAATCAGAGAAACAAACATCAATGTGTTTACATGACAAGACGGACGGACGGACAGACAGATAGATGGATGGATAGATAAATGGATGGATAGATGGATAGAGTGATGGATGGATAGATAGTTAGATGGATAGATAGATAGATAGATAGATAGATAGATAGATAGATAGATAGATAGATAGATAGATAGATAGAT